GGTGATGGTGTTTGTCTTCCCAAGTAACTGTTATGCGTGATGGAGCCCTGCTTTCCTGGAGGTGGCTGAACACCTGCCTGCCCATGTGAAGCAGTGAGTGAACTCCTTGTTTTGCTTTGCGTGTGTGCATGGCTTTTGCTTTCTCTGTTAAACTGTCTTTATCTCAACCCACGTGTTTTCTCACTTTTAGCCTTCTGATTCTCTCCTCTATCCCACCAGGGGGGGACCAAGCGGCTGTGTGGGGCTCAGTTGCTGGCTGGGGTTAAATCACGACAGACCTTATTTTTATGGGTGTTCTTGAGCTATCTGTAGAGCCCACAACTCTCATTGTGATACAGAAAATTATAAAAATGCATCCCTTGCACTGATAGATATCCTGATGTCATTGACACACAGACAATAAATCAGTGTTACAGAAATACAGAGAGCTATCATTTTTGTGTCTGAAAGTAAATCATAAACTGGATCCTGTAAACTTACCCGAGCTCTGTGCAGCGCACAGGCAAGTGAAGCTAGGATCAGTTCAAAAACTACTGCAACACTCTCAGACTTTCCCCTGCTGCTTTCACTGGGGACATGTAAAGCCTTCCCCTGGATGACGCACTGGTGGTGCACTTACTTGAGCTCCTCTGGGAGGGGGATGCTGGGACCTCTTCGCACCTGGCCTGGGAGGTGCTCACAGTCTCTACCCCTGTTGAAACAGGACGGTGTGTGGTTACACCGTCTGCCTTGCCAATTCACAGACCTGTTCTGGTTCTGCCCGCCTGCTGGAAACCTGCCCCAAGGCCTCCCTCTCTCTGGGGAGCCCCCTCAGGTGAGGGTGCGGCAGAGGGATGCTTGCACCAGCCTTTCCCACCAGCGTTTAGTGGCGAGTCACAAGCAGCAGAAGCATCAGTGCAGGTACGAAACACATTCACGCTTACTTCTGACAGAAACAGCTGCTGGAGTTTTCTTCTAACTCAAAAGCATTTCAAAAACGTGACTGTGCTCAATCAAGACTAAATCTGAAACTCCTCTGGGAGGGACTTCAGACAAGAATGTCTCATCGGGGGCTACCCAGCTGGCATAATGCAGCCCTTTAAAATCAAACTGCTTGGCCACGTAGTCTTTGGGCATACAGAGCTGCTGCTGAATTTGATTTAAGCTCCATTGCTCAGACTGTTCTGAGAAGAGACAGACTGTGAATGCTCCTTTCCCCTCAATTTAATCAGACTTCAAAATGAGATGAAGTTTTCCAAGCAGCTGCTACCACAGGTACATTACCAGGAAACCCTTGTATTCTGCATCCCAGACCCTAGTCCTGTGTTCACAGGAAGAACCAAACCTAAGCCTACATCCCATGTCCATACCTGGCACCTGGGGGGACATCGGCACAGCCAGACTGGCCAGATCACGTGCACTCTGATTACCTGAAAAACCATACATTCTATTTTGTGTGATTGTTGGTTTTGCCTTTTCTGTCTCCAGACTTGGGCAATTGCTTCAGGCTTCAGCCAACGTGCCACAAAGCCAGAGTCGTTCTTGGAGGGGAGGAGGAAACCTGATGAGCCTGGAAACTCAGCTGACCTCCCATCTCTTTCAATAGTAAATAGCAGGAATCGATTTCTGCAATTCCTAGCACAGGGGAAGCTCAGACACTGCTGCCTACCTAGCAAATAAAGCAAGCCTTAAAAAGTCATAGAAGAGCAAAAGAGCATAGCAGAGTGATTGCTCAGTATTTGAAGGACAGATTGTAGTGTAAGAAAAGGCAGCCCTCAGTCCCCTATCCGAAATCACTTTGTAGGCTACAGAGTTTTCCTGTGCCCGGGCTGCCAATCCCCATCAGTTACAAAACGCCTCTGTTAGCCATCCAGGACACCTGCAAGCCCCCTTTGAGAGGGGGTGCAACCCCTGCACACACACACCTGAGAGCTCTCAGTGAGATGTGCCACTCACACACGGGCACCCAAAAACTCTCGGTGAGATGTGCCACTCACACATGGGCACCCGAAAGCTCTCGGTGAGATGTGCCACTCGCACATGGGCACCCTAGCCCAGGGCTGCCCAGGCGGGGAGCAGAGGTCACACCCAGGGCTGGCACTGCCGGTCCCCATGTCCACCCCGGGACCCACGCTGCCCCGCTGCTGTGCTCCAACACCCCCCGGGGGGTCCTGTCCCTAAGCCCCGGGCACACAGCTGAGCGGGGCTGGGCTCCCTGCCCTCCGGCACCGGGGACACCCACGGGCACCGTGTCTTCCTCGCGGATGTTCGGGGACACCGTGTCCCT